TACTTTTTTCAATTGTTTCTTTTTTTAATTTATGTGAAAATATTGCATACTAACCTCTGCTAGCGGTTTCGCTCGCATTCTCATGGGATAAAGAGTAGCCTATGAGTTATTCCAGACCATAATCTATCCCTGTTCGGAATTTCATCTCAATCCCTTCAGCTGTTTTTACGTGAAATAGTAACAAACACACAAACACACAAACAAACATAGTTAACAAACTTTTAAGAGCCTATTTTTTTAATTTTCTGTAAAGGTTATTTAGTTTTGTTATTCTCTCTGGATATGTTTAGGTATAAAACATTTGGTAAAGAATTTTGAAAGTAAAGCTTAGCTTCCTATGTGACATCACTCTTACAAAGCAACTCAACTCTGTTCTCACCGCTAACGACCTAGTTTCTATCTAGCATATCTAAGCTAAAAACTTAGTCAAGTAAACATTTTGTAAGCCTATAAACCTATATTATACCTTAAGATAATATTTAATTCTTAGATTTAGCTCAAATATATGCCTAAACACCTACTTTACTATATAAACTACCTATATACCAAGTAATTGGTTGTTTTAAGTCTTAAAATATTTTGGCTTTCAAATCATTTAAGTTAACCTTTACTCACTTTATGTTTATATGAAACAACTTAATGTTCTGTTATGTAAGAAAAATAAATGTTATGTATATTAAATGGTATAATTGTCTTTCTTGTAGACTAGATCTTCCTGCAGATGACTCACAAAGGGATCTACAAAATCACTAAAATTGAAAACACAAACACCAAATTTAATGAAACAGATAATGCCCAACACCGAGAGCAAAGAGTAGGACCTAACCAAATGAACTGCACAACAAACACAATTCAAGTAACCGACAACAGTTAATTATCGGCACAACATTGAGTTTACAACAACGCGCGCATCCCTGCACTTATCAACCGCGTGTCGATACCCGGAGCGAATGGTTTGGAAAACACGCCACCACGCCATCGCCCCCTAACGGAAATTGATTGCACATGACATGACGTAACAAGCTGCGGACTGGCTAGTGACGTCACAAGTACGCCTCGATATCACGTGACCGCACTAAAGGCACTCAAATTGCTTTGGGGACTGCAATTAGTATCCAGTGATGACATACTTTTGGGTAATTAGTTTATTTGGTGAATGGACCCTGGTTTGCTGAGCTTCTGTTGCGGGTCAATTTGTGAGCCGTATGGTATGGCTTGCGTTAGAGGCCTCTGTTTCCAAATTGGAGTTTATACATGGATGCTTACGATTTTACAGGGTAATGGCTTTTGTTTTCGATGAAAGTTCTGTGTTGGGTTATGATACTAAATATAGTTTGTCGTTTTGGCTCTATAATTTGAGAAAGTAAATTGCATCACACCAGTTAATTTCAACTCTAACACTCTGGAAATAAGTCTGATATCACTAAAGTAAATAATGATAAAAGCAATACTTGTCCCATATACCAGGAGTAAGTGAAAAGAAAAATAATAAGCACTAGAACTTCGAAGACGTTAGTTTTAATTTACTGCGTAAGTAAATACCGGCTTAAAGATCAAAGACCGCATGCTCTGGCCTTAATTACTTTCAGTACAAGTGAAGTGGCCGACGAGATACTGGGTAAGTATAATGTACTCGTAGAGCTAAATATCTCTTTGACTGCCTCATTGATATAGTGGTTATGGTGATTGTCGTTATTATTGGGACCAAAATTGCCACACTCCGATACTCTAAAAATCGTACTTAGTTTTTTTTTTTAATTTGCCCTCATACTAGTATTTTCTTCTGTGTCGAGGATGCGTTTACAAACATACAAGTTCACATACACATGACACTCAGATCCGAAACAACAATTTGTGGATTACCCAATGCGTTGTTCCGTGCGGGAATCGAACCCCCAACACGTTGCGCGGCAATCGCCACCAACCGTGCAGTCAACATTAAGAAGTCAGTATTACCATAGAACTAACCACAAAATTATTTTTTGGAATAGGGGCGATAAGGGAGCCTACGGATAACCCGATGGTAAGCGATTAGCCTTGCCAATGAACATCCACAACACCAGAGGAGTCACTTTACAGGATTAGTAGTGAAAGACACCATAATACTCTTTTTAAAGAAACCATAAAGTAACAAAACATTTTCTTCCAAGAACCCTACTACCAGGACTATTGCTAATAGTTCAAGGTAAGTAGTGTATTAATTATCCGAGTTTAGCCCCCGAGTCTAGACAGCGTGGCGACAGTTGATTGGGTGCCCGTGCTGAGCATACTCTCAATTAACGTCTCTGTCTGTCTGTTGCACTTAATCAATATTATACCTCACGCCTTCTGCATACTAAGTGTGGTGTGGGCTACATTGGATGCGTTGAACTATGTTGACAACATTTAAGAGCCGATTTTTCCAACGCCAGATAAATTTTAACCGAGGAATAACTTTGATAATATAGTATTACTGAGTTTTAAAAAAATTCTCAGTAGTAGCACGGAGTCTGGAATTGTGCCCGGTATATGGCAATAGACTCACCCCTATTACATGGGACTCATAGCATAAATAGTGAAAAGTGGGTGTTACATTGTACAGTGGCATAATGTGCACCTCTGCCTACCCTTTCGGGGATAAAAGGCGTGATGTAATGTTATGAATAACTTTGAATATTTGACAATGGGGTAGATGAATAATTCTTATTTTAATATCCGTCTGGTAGATTATTTAAAATCATTAGACACGTATTTTTTATTTTCTTATGGATACAGATAGGTACATATTTTATATTTCTACAAATTCTACAATACATCGATTTGAAATATCGCGTGACGTCACTTTTGTGTACGTTTTATACTCAAAAGTGACGTAATTAGCTCCCACTCCTAAACTTTAATTCGTTTATCTATAAGTATTGTTTTCTTTTACGACAAAATACAAAAATACGTGTCTAATATTTTTTAATTACCTAACTCACGGACTAATTTAATTTTTTATTAGCATACTGTATCATCATCCCTATTCTACCACCCTAAAAATTGACAAATGTTAATTAAATTTTACAGTTAAAAATTAAGTGATATTGAAAAATTGTCCCTTATCTTAAATTTGTTGGTTATTTTTGAGGTTATAATAGAGGCGAATCTCTTAAAATATGTATTTAAC